TAGCTGGATAGATCTCGCTGATCACTTGATTTACATCGACCAATGAAATTGGCCCATATTCGTTCATTTTTATATGTTCGTTTCATTTTACCCAAGTGATGTTAACCAGAAGAATCAACTTATTCGAAATTAATTTTTGGGAGTTTGTATTATTGGTAAAGCCGTTTTAACAAAAAAAAGCAAAGATCAGACATAATATTTATTATACGATCACTACATCTAATCATAATCAAGATTTTGTGTACGAATGCAAAACTCGAATTGAACCATCCACTTCGTTCCACTACGTTCCTGGTATACACTTCGTGATATTCATCACTCCGTTCCTGGTATTAAAGATTTGCCGTAGTAATAATGCAGATCTAATTCTAATTATATACTACATCATATAATTTCTATCTCGAATATGCCATACACTTCATGATATTCATCACTCCGTTCCTGGTATTAAAGATTTGCTATAGTAATACTGCAGATCTAATCTATATATATATAATTTAATTTTGGGTCTGTGCGCTTTAACGTTTTTGATTGGCCATAAACGAAAGCTGTGGGAAATTTTGGGCCTGTGCGCTTTAACATTTTTGATTGGCCATAAACGAAAGCTGTGGGAAATTTTGGGCCTGTGTGCTTTAATGTTTTTGATTGGTAATAAACGAAAGGTGTGGGAAATTTGAGTTAGTGTATTTTGATGTTTTTGATTAGTATAGCTGAAAATAACTGAGAATAACTGAAATAACTGAAAATAACTAAAAACTGTGATTATTTGAATGTTTTTGATTAGTCATAACTAGATCAATGCACGTTCTGAATTCCTAATTAAAGTTACTTCTTAATAGACATTTTCAAAGTACAGTATTTTGAAGTACTCTTCGATTAAGGCATAATAATTTCTAATTACGATATAGTGACATTTACTAAATTTGTATTTCTTATTATCAAATATGATTGATTATAACATTCCGAATTAAAGTTACATAATAATTACAACATTTTGAATTAAAACTTGAATAACCCTGAAATATGATTGATTATAACATTCTGAATTAAAGTTACATAATAATTACAACATTTTGAATTAAAACTTGAATAAGCCTGAATAATCAGGTTTTAAATTCCGATCGTTATATTATCAATCATGATTGGTTGATATTTATTAATACCAATAATCATATGAAGATCAGCGTAAATTGAATATTTTTCCGCTTTATTTTTTTTTGATTTTTAATAATAAATATTGTGCTTACTATAAATGAAGATCTTTTAATTTCCATTCACAGTAAATTATTTAATTACGATAATGTATCGTATTAATTCTAAACTGTTTGCAATTACCAATTATATTATATAATTCACGTATTATGTATTCAATCGTAATTGTATATTGCGGAATAATAATTCAAAAATATTATGTGCATATTATTAATTAAAATTAATATTATTGAACTGTGATAACAAATAAAAATATATAATTTTGACATAACGTAAAGATGAACTTGAAAATATGTAAAATTAACTAATAGAACTTAATTTAGCTAAGCATACACAAATACAAATTACAAATAAGATTAAGATGTTCTACAGTATTTATGAAAAATATTCATAATTACGAAATTTTAATTCAGTTAAACATTTTAATTCAGTTAAGCATATACAAATACAAGTAATAAAAAAGATTAAAACATTCTACAGTATTTATTATGTAAAATATTTGTGATTATGAAATTTTAATTAAATGTAACAAAATCTGATACGATTAATAAAAATTTAAAAATTTGTCATTATTTGTTGTTATCTATATAAACGTGTGCGCTTTATTATTGTTGTATAAGAAATTTAACAATTTTATCATTTTATCATTATGCTGCCTCTTCGAAAAATCCAACCACAAACAGCTGAAGAACATAGAATTGCAAACAATTCTCAAATGTGAAGGTTCTGACAATTACTAACTCCAATAAAAAAACAAGGAAAATATTATAATATTGGTCGTTGCTTTCAAGAAAAAACAATATCTGTTCGCTATATTTCCAACACCGTCCATATTTGTTCTTACTGTAATGCGAAACTTTTTTTGACTGAAACACAAGAAATGTGTTGTAAATCAGGAAGGATTAAGTAAATTAATATATTATTATCTTATAACACTGAATCTATAATAAATTAACATTTATATAATTTTTTAATATCAGACTAGCATCTGCGAATGACACTGCAGATTTAAGAAATTTATTTATAAGAACGATTATATAGGAAAAGATTTTCGCGAAAATATCAAAAGTTACAATAGTATTTTTGCATTTACTTCTATGGGTATAAAATTAGATGAAAGCTTAGCAAATAGTAAGAAATTATGTTTAAAAATCACACTTAATCACATATTAACTTTACCATAGGTAAGGACAGAGTCTATACGTTCCAGGTCCAAGGTGGAATTTACTATTCTATAGGATCTCTACTTCCAATCGATGGAGTACCTAAATTCCTTCAATTGTACATATACGATACTGAATTCGAAACAACTAATAGACTTTCCATTATGCCTAAACTTCGTCATGAAACTTTGGAATTTATTAAAACAATATTAAACCAATTAAACCCTTTCGTAACCAATTTTCGTTCGATTTCTTCAAATAATAACATAAATAATCTATACTTACTTATCAAAGCAGATCAAAAGTTAGATCAACGTATCTATAACAAACCAACAGCTTCACAAGTAGCTGCTATATGGGTAGAAGGAAATAGTCCTATACAATATACAAACGTGATATAATTGTACAATCAGTATTAAAGGGTCTACAAAGAGTCTTGGAGCTAAGCGGATCATATGACCCGATGCAATATCCACTACTTTTTCCCAGAGGTGATTATGGTTGGCATCCTGAAATATTACAATGTATGTCTCAAAAAAAAGTTACTGCTTGACAATATTATGCATATAAACTATATTTCTGAGTGCCCTCTTCAACATTGCTTTTTCTTGGAGGCTGACTTTTTTAACAATACGTAGTCGATAATTACGTTAAGATAGAATCTGCACGCCTTAACTATTTACGTTTTACTCAAAATAAAAATCCGCAAAGAACTTTATCAAGGCCTACAAGATTCACTCCAAGCTGGACTATCTAATACATCAGAAATAGGACGCTATACTATCTTACCTTCATCGTTCATAGGTAGTCCACGTGATATGTACCAACGATACCAAGATGCAATAGCATTAGTACAAACCTATGAGAAACCAGATATATTCATAACTATAACGTGTAACCCCCAATAGCCCGAAATTATATCGGAACTTATGCCATTACAAACTCCGCAAGATAGACCAGATCTTACAGGTAAAATCTCATATTTATTTAAATAATATACTAATGCTTACTGGAGATCAAATTTACTTCTACAAAAAATTATTATAAAACTATTATATACCAAAAACTTTTATTCAAATTTATTCTAATCTAAAATTTATTAAATATCACGTAATAATAGTAAAAATTTTCTTAAATTTAACTTTTAATAAACACTAAATTCCTATTTTAATTTGAATTAATTTATTAATAATAATATTTAATCAAAAAAAATAATAATACTTATTTATTATCAACAAAATCATACTTAAATACCTACTCAAAATCTTAACATAACTTTATATTGTAGTGCACTGACCAAGTACCCCCTTTTTACATACCCTCACTCAAAATACCCGAGTACTTTATAAAGCATTTTTCTTTTTTAACCGAGGATAATACCCGGGTATCTTGGATAGTATTTTTCACGTTAACGTATAATGATTTTTAAATTACATATATTAAACTGTACAAAGTACCCCATATAAAATGCCCCATCACCAATCAAAATACACACTAGTAGAGATGTACTATTTATATGATACTCGAATTTTTTTCACATACAGTACGTAAAGTACATATAGTACGTATAGTACGTATCTAGCAATTTGGATGACTAGTAAAAAAGATCGGCAACAATTTTCGTGTATAGTACGTTCAGTATGTAGTGTACAGTAAGTATAGTACTGTACGCAGCATATCTCTACCTACGGTACTTTATAATTTTTTTTAATTAAATTATATTGGACTCTGGGGTACTTTTGCAAGTGCACTACAATGTATAAAAATTTCTTGAAAAAATTAATATATAATTTTATATAAACAAGTATACTTAACTAAATTTATATATTTATACTTAGCTCGAATTTTTAAAATGAAATTAGAAGAGTTCAAAAAAGATCTTTATGATAGAAATGTTCTTGGTCGGGTTATTGCACACATGCATACAATAGAATTCCAAAAACACAGCCTTCTGCATGCATATTTGTTATTAATTTTTGATTCTGAAGACAAATTACATGGAGCTGACGATTATGACACTATTATATCAGCCAAAATACCTAATCTGATAAAACAACCAGAACTATACCAAACAGTTGTTTCTTTTATAATCCACGGCCCGTGTGGTTACTTTAACCGTAATGCTCTATGCATGAAAGAAAACAAATGCAGCAAACGATACCCTATGGAATTTATTCAAGAAACTCGAGAAGGCGACGATTCATATCCTTTATACTGCAGACGTAATAATAGACGATACGTTTTAATTAATAATAAAAAAATAGATAACCACTAGATTATTCCATATAACCCTTATCTTTCCTTCAAATATAATTATCACATTAACGTTGAAATATGTTCCAGTATCAAATCTGTCAAATATGACCATGCGTCTATACAAATTACCGACAATGATGAAATAAGTCAATATCAAGATACTCGATGGGTTTCGGCTCCAGAAGTATGCTGGAGAATCTTCGGCTTTGACATGTCACACATTAATCCTTCAGTCCTTCGTCTACAAGTCTATCTACCTAATAATCAAACTATAACATTTTCAGAAAACTCCAACTTAAACAACATTTTAGCAGATGAACAAAATAAAAAAATGATGTTAACAGAGTATTTTGAAATGAATAAAATTAGATCCAGGCACCCGTAACTTTACATACCATGAATTTCTACGATATTATGTCTGGAATAACACTGCTAAAAAATAGACAAAACGTTGTCAAGGTCAAGTAATCAGAAGAATGTACACAGTTAGCCCAAGCGAAAGAGAATGTTACTACCTACGCCTGCTACTTAATAATGTTAAAGGTGCTACGTCGTTTGATGATTTAAAAATAGTAAATAATCATCAATGCTCAACATTTAAAGATAGCGTACTAACATGAAAACTTATAAAACCAGAACAGATATATCACCAAGCTATGTGTGAAGCAGCTCAATACCAAATGCCTTCTGCCCTATGCCAACTATTTACAATAATATTACTATTTGGCAAACCAAATAATGTTAGATCTCTATGGAACATTAGCTATACTGCCATGTCCAAAGATTTTGCAATACGTGGAATTCCTGATGGTTATCCAAGAATTAATGCAGTCCTTCTACATATAAAATACCTTTTAGAACAACATCACAAATCATTAAACGACTATGATCTACCACTAATAACATCACCTGACAATGATTCAAATAAATTACCAAGGCTGATAATTAATGAATTAAATGTTACTTCATCAGCTAAGGATTTAGCAAAAATAGAACTATTAAATAAGCACCAAAAATTAATATTCGATACAGTAATAGAACGCATTGAAAAAAATTAACCAACAGTCATTTTCGTAGATGGACCCGCAGGTATATAATATTTATTATCATAAAACTACATTATATTAACACAAATATAACTTTATGGTATAACAAAATATAAAAAAAAAAATAACTTACTATAATTAATCTATATACATACATTGATTCTTTAATTTCTTCACAATATAACTACTACACATAAAAAAAAAAAACTACGTGATTACAATTAGAGATATGCTAATACATATTTTTTTAGCATTACATTGTATAACAAAATATAATGCAACATACAACATAATATATAATATATTATTAATTTTTGTAACATTAAAATTATATAGTAATTCTATGTGCACTTTTAAATCTTAAAACATCTATATTACATTATGCAACATTATATTCTGCACAATATAATGCAAAACGCCCACCTCTAATAACAATTAAATTAGATACGTTTTAATAAATATAATATTTATATAATAATAACTTATATAATAATTTTAAAAACCTACTAACAAATTCGAAACACAACCTCAGATTCAGGAAAAACCTTCTTATACGTTTGCTTACTCACCAAAGTCTGTTCAACCTACTCAATTGCACTTGCAACAGCCTCCTCTGGTATCACAGCTCTACTTATGCCCGGAGGACAAACCGCTCACTCAAGATTCAGAATTCCTTTAAACATTGATTCAACTTCAACTTGCAATATCAGCAAACAAAGTCACTTAGCAAAACTACTTAGATTGGCGAAACTAATAATTTGGAACGAAATTTCTATGATAAACTATCATGCAATAGAAGCATTAAATAGAACTTTACAAGATATCATGGGCTGCAAGCTTCTATTTGGCAGAAAAATCTTCGTATTTGGCAAATATTTCTGACAAATCTTACCAGTTATTCCACAAGAAGCCCGTGCACAAATTGTGAATGCTACTTTTAAATCTTTCCCATTATAGACCAAAGTAGAAATTTTTTATCTCCACCAAAATATGCGAATGGAAAATAACCTTGAAACAAATGAATTTAAAAACTTCTTACTAAGAATCAGGAATGGAGTTGAACAAACTATTAATGATAACATGATTCGCATTCCCGACTCTATAGTAATTAACTGGAATAACGAACAATCTCTACAAACTCTTATCGAACAAATATATCCACACCTCCCCATTTATTTTTCAAACAACTCATTTTTTACTGACAAAGCCATCCTAACTACCAAAAATGAATACGTCAATTATGTCAACAACACAATCTTAAACCAACTACCAGGAAAAAGCATAACTTATCAAAGTTTTGACTCAGTTCTGGACAATACTCATAACCTCTATCAACAAGAATTTCTTAATACAATAAATACATCCAAAATACCTCCTCACAAATTACACCTTAAAATCAACACTCCTATCATATATCTTCGAAACTTAGACCCAACCAATGATTTATGTAACGGCACCAAATTAACATGTCAAACTTTCAACCCTAATGTAATTGAAGCCGAAATAACTACAGGCAACCACCAAGAAAAACGAGTTTTTCTTCTATGAATACCATTCGTAACTTCAGACACCAAATTCCCTTTTACATTGAAAAGAAACCAATTTCCAATAAAACTTGCCTTCGCCATGACAATTAATAAATCTCAAGGCCAGACAATTTCTCGAGTAGGACTTTACTTACCCGAACACGTATTCACCCACGGTCAACTTTACGTTGCTTTCTCTCGAGTCCGATCTTATCAAAATATCAAAGTATTAATAAAAAATGGCAAGATCCCTGGTAAATAAGTCACTTATACACATAATGTCGTGTATAGAGAAATCCTACATGACTAACATCTGTTTATTTTTATTATCAACAAAATTTCCCATCCTCTCCATCTATACACACCAAAAAAAAAAAAAATTAGAAATGAATAACACTAAACAACATAATAACAAACCACAAAAACTTTTCTAATAACACTAAATATAACATTTATATTAAACCAGTATATTAAAATTTTAACTACAAAATAAAGTTAAATTACCAATCCAATTAAACCGTATAATATAAATAAAACATTTAATTAAATAAATACTACTCAACCAAAATCGTC